ACACATCTCTGCAGGCACAGCCAGGCAGCCACATCCTGGGTCATCGTGAGGACCCTCTCCTGTGACCCCTCCCCTCCACTGGCCGCCAAGGACACAGAAGAGGAGGTGCTGCAGCCTGCATGTAGGTAGGTGAGGTTGGGGAGTCTGTGGGTGATGGCTGGCAAGTAGGGGGGATTGGGGGACTGTAGCTGGGTTGGTGGTACTCAGCAGTGTTGTATAATGATTATACAGCACTGCTGAATACCACCAGCCAGGGGTGAACTGACCCTTCGAGCAGTCGGGCACTGCCCGAGAGCCCGTTCATTAGTGAAATAAATGAACTTTTGCACGATATTCTAATTATTCGAGTTTCACCTGTATATGTGTGCAAGTTCTTTTTCTGTGTGTGTGTAGGAATGTGAGAGAGGTCCCTTTTTCCCTTGTGAGAGTGTACCGCCCATGTAAAGCTCAATAGCCCCCTTATTCTCTTATAAGAGCAGGATGGATTCTGGGATCAGTGGTGTATTACACCCATACAACAGCTGAAGTCTGAAACTATTTGTTCAGACTACTAGCTGAAGAGACAGGCTGAAATGAGAAACTCTTTTATATCAGTTGAATTAAGCAATATCACATATACCAATATAGTTATACAAAGGTTAATAATGTTCTTTTTTTAATGGTCTAATAATGGTCTTTTTTACTATAATGCCCTAACCAATAAATATTAAAGTAGAGCGATAGCATTCTTTCTTTTTAAACACTTTATGAACTTTGAATTGGAGTATTCAGCACCAAGCGACCCCCACGGTCTCCCTTAGCAAGGGATGGGAGTGGTTCTATTCCATGTCTGCAGTTTGATAGATGACTAACATCTGTACAGCCTTGTAACTTTTAGACATATAGGATTACATTTTACTAGACATAACTAAAATCATAAACTCTATAAAGTCTGCTTGTACTGATTCACACCATATGCAATTTGCCCTGTCATGGGTGGGCACAGTTCACTCCATGGTGTTCCGGTGGTATGCACTTATAAAAAGTACAGCATGAAGTACATGCATGCAGCATGGATTTTTGAAGGACCGCTCTTGTCAGACCAACCTACTAACATTCTACAAAGAGGTGAGTAGAGATCTGAATGGAGGGAGGCTTTTGACACAGTACGACATAAACCCTTAGTACACAAGCTGAGATCTATGGACACAGATGAAATGGTGTGCACATGGATAGAGAACTGCCTATAGGAACGTGTCCAGAGAGTATTGATAAATGGCTCTTTCTCAGATTGGTCTAAGGTCGAGAGTGGCGTGCCCCAGGCCTCTGTGCCAGGCCCCATACTGTTTAACCTGTTTATTAATGATATTGGGGAATAGCCATGTTTCTGTGTTTGCAGATGATACTAAAATTGGGAGGGCAATAGACATGGACTTAGACATTATAACATTACAGGAGGACCTGAATAAAATAGGGGAGTGGGCAACTATATGGCAGATGAGGTTTAATGTTGAAAAATTTAAAGTAAGGAATTTTATGGGCTAAAAATAGGCAAGCGGAATACACATTAATGGGTACCCCACTAGGGAAGTCAGAAATGGAAAATTATTTGGGAGTCATAGTAGACCACAGATTGAACAATAGCACTCAATGCCAGGCTGTAGCAAACAAAGCAAGCAGGGTACTGTCTTGTATTAAAAAGGGAATGTACTGTAGAGACAAAGCAGCAATTTTGCCACTTTACAGATCGCTGTTACGGCCTCATCTTGAGTATGTGGTTCAATTTTGGTCACCATTCCACAGAAAGGACGTCCTTGAGCAAGAGAGAGTCCAGAGAAGGGAGCAACTAAACTAATTAAGGTGCTGAAGTACCTTAACTATGAGACAAGGTTGCTAAATTTAAACTTGTTCACGCTAGAAGTGAGGAGATTAAGAGGGGACATGATTTTGATGTACAAAATGTTTAGTGGTGATGGCAACATCAGCAATAAACTGTTTACAGTAAACTCCATAACATATTTGAAAATTGAGCCCATGCCTACTTGTGATGCTTAAAGCTGTCCAGGCTGTGAGGGGCGCGTAGCCAGGTTGACTAGCCAGTGGTATGTGCAGTTGCAAGAGGCAAACACCACATGGAGCTGAGCGGTTGCGACAGGGATAGAAGCATTTGACAGGCTCCTAACACGCTATATGAATAATACCCATCATTAGAAATATCTTTAGGGATTCTAACACTGCCCTTCCCCCAATCCGGGTTTATGTTTTTTTGGGGGGTATATTTTATTTTTCCGGGGCCTTTTTTTAATTGTGGGACGACAGAGCTACACTTGTTGCTGACACAGACAAGGCTGCCCTTTGTTTGCATACTTGTGGGGTAATGTAGTGTGTACCAAAGCACAATAATACCCCCTATTGCTATAGCTGATATTAAATTTAGGTAATCCCCTTTATTTAAAAAAAAATGTCAGGCAAGCCTAAAGTGAGAGAAAGAGGTTCTGCATGCAGAAGTAGTACAGGGCGCACCTGTAAGATATACACAAGCAAAAGTGACATTTGAGAAATGGAAAACAAATACCATTTGCCGGTAAATGACATTTCCCTGCCTGCTTGAGTTTTTTTGTAAAAAATGTTATGGGGACCCCCCCCCCCGAATCAAACAATGGGCATGGAAAGCTTGCCACTGCCCTGGGGGACATGTACCAATGCAAAAAAAATCAAAAGATCCTATTCGGCTGGGAGCAGCAATGTTAATAATTTGAATTTTTAACATTAATTAAATGCAAAATTCCATTAAGTTACATGCTTGGGGATGCTCTAAACTTGCCTGTGAAGTGGCGCATCTGTAAGTTGTCTAGGATGTACTGCAGCAAAATTGACATTTGTGAATGCCAAAACCTCATCATTTGTCTGCAAGCACTGCTAATGCACCCTTTTCCTCCTCTTCTCCCTCTACTTCTCCCAGGGGCAGAGCAGCCACTTGCCTGCAACTTCTGCTAATTAGGCATGAGCAAATGTGTCTGGGTTGCATGGGGCTTTCATCAAAGTGATCGTAAAGTCCAAAAACTGAAAACTTAAATCTAAACCCTATTGAAGTATATGGGGAGCGGGGGGAATCTTAAAAGTCAACTTTGGCCATTTTTAAGCCTAGAAAGCAAGGGATTGTCAAAAAGGGCTTGGGGAGCTGGGAACTTCCATAGGGCGCATTTACCAATGGAGGAAGGAATTTTAAACAATACCATACAGCGGGAAGAGGATCCCCTTTTTTATGCGATTTTAAGGGTGACATGGGAAAAACACGAATCCTTTAAATTACATACTTGGGAGATGCCTTTAAGCTGTATGTGGTATTATGGAACAGTAGTCGCATATGTAGCACAGCGTCTGGAGAGTATGTAAGCAGGTTGATTAGATATTGTAAGAATGAGAGATGAGGTTTTATCTTGAAATTAGAGTGTATTGTTACAGAGAGAACGTGCACTTACAGTATGTTAGGGTCTGGTACTGATATAAATGTTTCTATGAGAAAGGGCTGCATGGTATGGTGTTTATATAAATACTGGAAATAGATAATCAGAGGAAGATAGTCTTATTGAATTACATAGGATAATATCTGGCTGTTTAAGGCTAGGTTCACACCTGGGCAACTCCTGACCGTGTGGCAATCGTGCACATGGCGTGGTTTCCTGCCGCAATTACGCCCGTGCAATTGAACACGATAAAAAAAGCTGCGCAGCGTACTTGAACCTTTTTATAGCCATTACTGCGTGGATGTGACCCGATTGAAATCAATGCACTAGCACACGATGGCACGGTCGCGGATGTCACTTAGGTCTGAGCCTAGCCTTAGCGGTATGCCTTATATTTACACATATGTGTAATTTAAGTATCTGCTAGTTCAGAACATGTTTAAATTGTAACTTTTAATATTATGACTAACTATATCTGCTGTCATAAAACATACACATTGGTATACACTGAGATTATCTAGACTGTGATTACATTTTTGGTCGGAAAATGCCAATGTCTATGACTGCGCTGAGTTGTGTTAGCTTTATTTATCCATAGAAATGAAAAGAGTCTGCAACTAATAAAGCGCAGCACAGTGTCTTAGTGGTTAGCACTTCTGCTTTGCAGCACTGGGGTCATTCATTCAAATCTCAGCCAGGACATTGGAGTTAACACTGAAGCATTTATTGTATATCTTTGACTGGCCAGTTAACAAAATGACATCAGTATTATTGATGCTGTAAATGTTTTGATCATATACGTGTCTATAAAACAGATATTATCGCATAGATCTGCTGTGTCACCATTTACAATGAATATTGTACTTCAGGATTTCTCCAAGCTTTGTTCCTCCTAAGCACGCTTCAAATTTTGCATCCATTTCTTGACTTTGAGCATCTGAAAAGTAATTTTTCCAGTCTCCAACATCCCCTGGAAAAAAAAAAGAAATGTAACACTACAGTACATGGGTGAAACTTTTAGCCCCAAGTACTGGATTTTTACTGTTGTATTGTTGTACTGTTAATTTTAGGGGGAAAGGGGCAAAATATATGAATAGTAAAATATGACTTATACATCTTACAAGACAAAGTCATATTTTCTCTCCTGGAGTAACCTCCCTCACTGATTGTATCGTATCTATGGAGGATCAGCATTGTAACCCTACGAGAGGAAGTGTTTTAGGACTACAGAACCATAACTCTACAACGTGGGGAAAAGAGTGGGTTCTGTAGTTCACAAAGGGAACCCCAGGCAGAAAGATTAAATGTACCATGTGCGGCTGCAATGGGGCCTGGGGATGGAAGGGGGCCCCCAATAAGAATTGTAGAAGTTGCTGCTGACACTGACAATATTAATCAAAAAGAGCTGACATCAGGTGCACAGGGGGAGCTATGCAAGCAGCTCTCCTGCTACCTGACTTTAATATCATTGACAGTTGGGAGGTTGCTGGGGGACCCCATCAACATTTTGCTATTGGTCCCCATGATCTGTGGTTATGCCCCTGCCTGTCACGATCCTATAAGTTAGACGTGGCTATTGGCAGGAACCACGAGGTGCTTACATGTGAAAAGTTCACTGTCAAACTGCTTTTGAATACTTTGTGGTCCACCATATAAAGAAATTCAAATTTGCAGTTGATTCTCTGGATATAACATTCCCCAAATGCCACAATGCAATGTGCATGCTCCAACAATCAATAAACTGGTCTTCTGAACTGCAGCTAAATTCTATGTCTGAGTACGCATGCTGCACACCTTCATTCAAGGGACCCATGAGGCATTCAGGTGCAACTCTGCAGTGAAATTGGGGTATGATAATTAATGTAATGATTACATCTATTTTTTGCTCCAGAAGCCATTTTGTAATTTACTGTTATTAAAATTGCTTTTCCATTTTAATCTAAACATTTGTAAAAATTAAATAACGCCCTAGAAATCTGCCAACGTCATTAGAAATCTGCCAACGTCACACTGCTCTCCCCAGCTGTTGTTTTTTATGACAACTCTAATAACGTTCATTCAATGACAGTAGGTACCCACCCACGTAGCACTCATAGGGGGGAATTTATCAAAGCTGGAGCAGACAGAATCTGGAGCAGATGCCCAAAGTATCCAATCAGCTTCTCTTTTCAGTTTGTACAGTTAAGCTTTGGAAATGAAAGACAGAATCTGATTGGTTGCTATGCACAACTACTTCATATTTTGTATGTACCAGTTTTGATGAATTCCCCTCATATCATTTAGGAATAAGGAAGTAACCAGAATGCCTTGGCTATTTTCATCAAAACAGCAGCAGATAAGCAGCAGCATACTCTGCGATAAGGATCACTTAAACCTTTGCAACATATATCATGTAGCTGGAGCAAGAGTAGATTTTTCATCCAGGGGCATGACGTTGTCAATATTCTATTTGTAGAAACTTTCTAACACATTATATAAAATAATGTGGTCAGGCAATGCAGATGCTTTTAAATGAAAAGGCGAAGTGGATAAGCTAACTCGTGTCAGGTGGAAAGCACAATCAGTTTGTGTAGTATCTCTAGGCAAAATCTTGTTTATACTTTTGGATAGCATGGTGAAGAGTTACAACCCCTGTCAAGTTTTTATTGCTGTCTCTGTCCCTATAGGGGAGATTCAACCCTCTAATTGTACTTGTGACCATTGTCTCCTAGAACGAAAGGGGCAATCCAAAATTGTAGAGTTGTTCAAAGAAATATAGGGAAACCTTCCAATGAGAACATCTGTTCAACAACTGTCTGAGAGGGGAATTTCCCTCGCTTTGGGAGATTGTCACTAACTTTCTGTTGTGTCGGTTGGACAGGAAGTAAAGGAAAATGTCCCCAATAGTACACAGACAGCAAACAAATAAATACATGAATAAATAAATAAATAAAGCTCGCTCCCATGATGGACTCACGTTTAGTTTACTAATTTGTAGTGAGATTGTAGTCCATCATTGGAGAGCTTGGAGCATTTTTTTTGGAGTTCTCCTTCATAGCACTAAATGTTCCTTTATCAGCAATTAATTTCACTTGCTGTTCAGTGAGAGGCATAGAAAAAAAATCTGAAATCTTCCTTATTGATCCCTCCAGATCCTATATAAATAGCAGAGAGCTTGGAGTAAACAAAGATTTTCTAATATTCTCTATATTTTCTAATATCTGTTATTGACAGTAATATTATTTGCAAACATGGGTCACACAATTCTATTCTAAGGCAATTGGGCTAATTTACTGAAGGAGTAAGGAATCTTCCCTCAATAAATTGTGTGAATATTCACTTCAGTTTTCCAATTATGTGAAAAGCAAATTCCTCTTTTCCTTCTTAATCTGCACATGCTTTGCATATAATTGGATAATTAAAGAGAATAGTTACACAATTTATTGAGTTTAAGATTTTCAACTACTTAAAAGAGAACTATGGGGTAAGTGTTTTCCCCATAGTTCTCTTTAGGGTCACAGGACAACATATACTAACCTCCTCCCATGACCCAAAGCTTGCAATATACTGAGAGCACCGCAGCCGGGACGGATCCCACCCCCTCCCCGTTCGTTCCTACACTCAGCGCTGGAGGATCGGAGGTGGGGAGAGGGGAATCCCTGCAGGGAGCGGTGATTGACAGGAGAGGATCAGCTGCTTGTTTCTGCTCACTTCCCGATCTATAGAGCCGACCTGTGACAGCTCACTCGCCTCATAGTTCTCCTTTAATCAGTAAATCAGCATCACCGCCTCGATTGTTTAAGAACTAATAGGACCACTTAGTTACCTTGGCAGTCCATATACTGTAGTGAAAGATACAGAAACCCATCAACTGCAAAGGTTTTTTTTTTTTTTTTAAATATTAAAGCTATATTGCCAAATAAAAATAAGTCGATCCTTGGTGTTACAAATTAGGAGCATGGAGAGAGAAAGAGAGAGAGAGAGAGTACACGGGCGCATCAAACGGGATCGACATGCAGGTTAATTTGGGTATTTCTATACACAGAAGCAATGGGATAGGGCATGGGTTAGGGCCGACGAGGCGCAGAACATCAGTGTGGTACAGCAGGATCATGGGAAGGAAATATGGCACATCAAAGAGTAAGTCCTGAGTCACAATGATAGCAATACGGGGTACAGCAATGGTGAATCTGGCGGGGGTCACAGGGCAGCAATAAAGTACTGCAGGGATAAGTCCAGTAAGTAGGTACTACAAGTCTTGTTGTTCTCAGCGCACATGACTGAGAAGGAACTACAAGTCTCAAGAGACCTTAGCAGTACACGACAGAGAAGGCACAACAAATCCCAGCAGCAATTGTTGCATTGAATAGTCATAGTTAATGGAAGTTGCAGCCTTTGCACAGCAGTTCCTTTAAATACGCAAACAGAGCCCTGCCTAACCACATGCTCTGGTCTAGGAGTGAGCATGGAGAGCTCTTGCTTGGTTTTCCCACAGACCTTAAAGTCGGGCAGGTGGGAGAGGCCGTGCATAGGCCATTGCTGAACAACCAGTCAAACCCCCTAATGGGTGCATGATCCATTATGGTTGAGGCTTTTGTCATGGGAAGCCTGCAGTGGTGGGAACAAGGCGCTGTACACTCTGGCACAGGGAAGCTATCTTGGTGCCCAAGTCTTGCAAACCAATCTGTTAGAAGTGCAGTAGGGCTCCTGTGATATGCTGACTGCAGGCATGGAGGCATGGCAAAGGGAAGGGGATCAGTGCTTCAGTGGCCTGCTCAGTGGCCAAACAGGAAAGTGTGCGGCTGATCTTTTGATCTGCCAGTTGTATGTTTAACTGTAGACATACAACCAGAGATCTTCTGCAGGAAGAAGATCTGCAGGCAATTCATTGATCTGCGGTTCTGTGCCAGAGATCAAAGCAGATAAAAACACGGCTTCGGCTTAAGGTGGGGAGAGGTCAGGAATCAAGAGGGGGGTGCACACAGAGCTGGGGGGAATGCAGAGCAAGAAGAGGGGCTGAGACTGCAAGGAGCCCTTTTCTCCACAACTAGATTAAACATAATAAATCTGAGGTTATGTATTCCCCAACATGAAGTGTTTCTTGTAAGTAACCTTCTATGGATAGAATGTATTAATGGCTTTTGCTTACATGAAAGCTACCAGAACTGTCCATAGTTACATAGTATTTGAGGTTGAATAAAGACATTAGTCCATCAAGTCCAACCTATTAGGATCTCATTCTAGGAGTACCCGTACCCCTGTCCATCATATAAACTGATTATCATCCACAGCTAGGGGGTATGGGCCATAGGTTATAGTAGCCTGAATATTATTATTTAGATGCTGTATATCCTATAAACATGTTTGGTGATTAATTCAAAGGTAATTACCAAATTTACCAAAAGGTAATTAACCAAATTGGTTAAAAGCATACTTCTAATATAATCTATCATCTAATATTCATTTAATCGGTAGCCCTCTAGAGATTAAAGTGGAACTCCAGGAAGTCAGTTTTTTTCCAAACTTACATTGGTCCTGGTTGTAAGAACAATTCATTCTCTAATTGGACAAGGTGGAGATCCTGTCATCATCGCCTCTTCTCTCCACCTCATCCAGTCAGAGAATCAGAATTATAATTATTGAAAAAAAATACAAGGCATTCTCTACAGTAGTTTTCAGGATTCCCACTGGCCCTCCACATTTCAGATATACATACATTGAGCCAAGCTGGACCAATGTAAGTTTGCAGAAAACTTCTTGGAGTCAACAAAGCCAGGGCTAGAGGAAGCGAGGCGGCACCGGAGGGAGCAGAGCCGCATAAGCCGATGTCTCCTCTATATCGCCGGCTCCTGTCACTGGCGGAGTGATACCAAATGCACTCCGCCTGTGAGGAATCGATCGTGAAAGCGCGCTTCGCTCATTCTGGTTACCAAATTGCTCTTGGAAAGGTACGGCACCCCTGATGGCCTTGATCACCATATTTTTGTACATGAATACATGTAGACTTTTCTACATGAATAAGTGTGGATTGTTAAACATAAAAAAAAAAATAAGACAGTGTCTTATTATAGGGGAAACACGGTAGGCTTTCAGAGCATTGCAAAACGCTAACCTACCTCTTTCATATCTTCAAAAGTCAGCAACAAAACTGTGTCTGAGTCGAGATGTTTATTCCATACAACAGCATGGTCAAAGTAAGAACCCCAGACAACTGAAATAAATAACAATTAAAAAATAAATACTTTGAAATAATATTTAGATATAAGTGTGCATCGTTATTAAGTTATTAAATAAAGTAACCAATTAATTTCCACATAACATATGGACTAATACTTGTTAAAGAGGTTTCAAGGATAATTGCTAATGCAAGGGGGGACTGGGAGCTGGAAAGACAAACATGACCAACTTAACCTTTTCTGGTTAAATTATTATTATACAGGATTTATATAGCGCCAACGATTTGCGCAGCGCTTTACAATATAAGGAAGACATTACAATCACAATACAAGACAAGATGGTAAGAAGGGCCCTGTCCCTGAGGGCTTACAATCTAAAAGGGAGGGCAAGTGATACATGCAGAGAAAAAAAACCCACAGTGCCTTGTGTTACTAGAGCAATGGGTGACACAACACATTTGAGTCCCTAGGACTTTTTCACCCTAATTTCCCTTGTGTGCCAGAATGTTTTTTTCTCTTTTTGCTTTGGTGATTTCTCAGTTCTGCACAATAAATCTTTTAGGTTTTGTAGTGTATACATCTTTTTTTTGTTTTGTTTTTTTCAGGACAGATGGGGCTGTAATTTGGTAGCAAGTTTGGATACATATATTTTTATTGCCTTGTTATTTATTGGTTTAAAGTTAGAAAAAACAAAAGGTTTATTTACTATCCCAAATATAATATGTTTTTTTTACTTATATTTACCCAAAAATATATTTTACAAATCTGAAACTTTTGAAATATAACACTGTATGAACTGTTAATATTTTGAGTTAGATGATTGATTTTGATTTTGTCTGATTTTTATTCTACGGTTTTGGAACAATTATTTTCACATATTTTGCTTGTTTGGATTTTGCATGTTCTATGTGATATTGATTTGTATTAATGTGAGCATGGCACATGTTATTGCATCCATTTTAAAAGTGATATCATGGTGTTCACTTATTGTGCTTGCAGCTTTATGCTTATTGGTGTGAAATAATATGGAATATATATATATCTCATTAATGCGACTCTTATGCAATGTAGCAGAATGGTAAATCTTGAATGGAACATAAGCATTTCACGTCAGGAGAGCTTTATTCCACTTTCAATGCTACATTGCACACAGGGGAAAGAAATGGTTTGCATAAGTTGTTAAGTGTAACATTAAGAACAGATAAATCGGGTTGATGAGGGTAAGGATTAGCACAATGGCTACTTTTTCACATGTTTGTGATTGCAAATTAAAATGGCATTGCATTTACTTATGTGAGCTTTTGATGCTTGTGCAGTCAACCCAAATGTAATCCACATCAACTGATGTCATTGTTGCCACCTTGGGATTAATATGGGAGGGAGTATATTTATTTATTTTGTATTCATTTTTAGAAAGAGAGAGTATAAATATACTGTATATATTTAGTTTTCCATTTTCTTTCGTACACTTTATTTTTCTTTCACCTTTTTTTCAGGAGCGCTGGATCTGGTCAGAGAAGATCCTCTGTACTCGAGGAAGTACTGTAACACTCCTGATATAAACACAACATAAGAGTGTTGTGTTCACATTTGCTTCTATAAAGCTAGCAGTTCCACTGCTAGTGCAGGGGCCCCCCAGAGCTGCTGAGACTGACTGCAATTTTAAAATGGTATTGGGACAAATAACCACTCCCAGCTCCATTTTAAAACAGCTATTTGGAAGTGTGGAAAGAAAGAGCTAGACCTGTGTTGTTATTCTCTTGGTGTTTCTCATCCAACATTAGTTAAGTGTGAATGTGTGTGATCTACCTGATGGGTAGGTAGCTCCCGCAATCTAAAGGATCTGCACAGTATCCTTGGCTCAACGGTGAACGCAGAAGATGTAAGTATTGAAGCGCCACACCAGTTAATAAAGTCCAGATACAACTTTGTTCCATTAGGGTCAGGGGACATTCAAGTTGCCAACATGTTTTGGTGTCCAGAACACACCCCCTTTATCAGGTCTTATGAGAAAAATCATGTATGTGGGCTAAAATTCCTGCATCTTGAAAGTTGTACTAAGTTGTGATGGAAGTACTTTAGATTTGTCATCAGCTGGTCTAGCGGCACCCGGGGTTTTTAGGGACCCTGGCCCTCCTTGAGGTTGCCATCTCTGTTCTTAAGTGGGGTCCTAGGAATTCTCAGCATCCAATGTTTTGCTCCCTGCTCTCTCTGTTTGCCATGGCATCTTTGTGAGGCAGATGCTCTAACTCAGTGCTCCCCAACCTTTTTATCGCTGCGGATCGGTCAACGTTTGATCATTTTACCGCGGCCCGCTGAGGGGGGGACGTTGATTGTTTATATTTTAGATTGTTTTGATTTAATAATTTTAATTTAATTTTGTATTTAAACATGCCTTCAAAATAAAATACAGTTACACCAAAAAATGAATGTAAAGTGATTTAACTCACTGGTGTGTGGGAATCACCTGTCCCGATAAATCCATATTTCAAGTAGGACTCATGGTATTGTCTGTTAAAGTTACATGTTTCTTTGATGTTGAAGGCCCTTCTTCTGTCTCTTCACTTGGCCTTTTCTTTTTCCCAAGGAAACTTTCTAACGACGTCTGTTTCGTACTAATTTTTGCTAATTTGTGGGTTAAATTTGAGCAAACACAATATACACGTACACCAAGCACTGTAGTGTCGTTGTAGCTTTGGTAAAGAGAAGGTGAGCGATACACACCTTCTCTTTACCAAAGCTACAACGCCACTGCCGCTTGCAGCCGCTCAGCTCCAGACGTCACCTAAAACCGCCCTGATATCACGATATTTAGCGCATATGCGGTATTGGCGCGGCTTTAGGTGACGTCTCTCAGCTCCCGGTTAACCTCTTGTCCTGGAAAGTCAGACAAACCCGAGAGAAATAGATCTCTAGACTTTGCTGCTGATAGCAAGTGACAACGTGTCCACCTTGTAGATCAGTGCAAAGTCAATGTGGACTTTGAATATAGCAAGTTGAAATAGTTAGGAAGAATAATTAGCTAATATAGTTAGGAAAAGCCCTGGAGGGTATGCTATTGTTTGTCCAATGCCTCCTGCTTTTATCCTTCTTATATCTAGATAAATTAACAGAAAAGCAGGAAAGATAAAGATGTCCCTTACATATAAATATATACTGTATATATTTTTATATCATATAAAGATTAGAAAGTGAGAAGTCAAGTAAAATAAGAATAAGTGTGTTGAGAATTTTTAGCACAGCTCTTACCTTTTCCACTAATGAAGTCTGGGAAAAATGTATCAAAACTATTGTAGTTGGGAAGCATTGGATTACTATTGTAGAAGTGAAACATTGATACGGCAGTATCCTTTGGATTGCGAAACACCACCAAAATCTACCAGAAAACATAGTCAAAAATGTCAGAACAGGTGTCAGTTTAAGTAGGCTATCCTAAACACACTCTCATGTTCTCGCTTGTTTCAATTTGAATACATGGATACCGATAAAGCAATGATATCTCAAAATAGTATAGAATTGAACAGGGTAATGGGTACCATGTGGTAAATCTAGAAGAATTACTCAAATATGTTCAACAGAATGTTACAACTAAAATGCAAATTGGGCTTTGAACCTCAACTTTAGTATATAATCACACATAATAAATGGGCCAGATCAGACTGATCCAGGTCCAACCTAAACTTAAAGTGATATTAAACCTTTTTTAGAAAAAATCAACACTGTAGATCTATTCTTACTTAATGAGCTTTTTTTGTGTTAAACTGCCCCATTTCATTTATAATTTGGAGGTGTCATACCACCGCCCCTCCCTTCCTGTTTCCTTTGCAAAGGAGACACCTGTGCATGCATACTTCCAACTGGGAACTTAGCCAAGCTGTGTGCGTCCACTGGGACACACAGCGCTCGACAGACCACACCACTACTCCTGCCTTCCCCCTTCCTTGCAGCAAATTGACAGGCAGCTGCAGCAGCCTATCACTGCCCTCAGGATCCCTCCCCTACAACCCAAAACGTTAGGGAAGCAGCAGATCATCTTGGAGCCGGCAGGGGTGAACTAAAGACTAAAGGTAAGTGTTTGGAGGTGGGGGGCAATGCCAAGGTACCAGTTTACTTTAATGCAGAAAATGCATTGAGGTAAAAAAAAAAAAGCAGAGTATTTAGTACTACTTGAACTCCTACACTTATTAACTAATATGGCAAAAAGAATTTCCTAAGACACTGTAGCGGAACTATAGGCAGGCACAACGTTATGCAGCTCTGCATTTATTTATACATCATTAACCACCTGCAGATCGGCCACTTTATTGAAATGGACGGTTTATTGTTCCGGGATGGCATACTGGTACGTCCTCCCATGAACGCGTATGCGTTAATCCGCAGCCGCTGAAGCTGTAGTTCCTGCTGTCATTAGATGGTGGAGGGACACGGCTTTACACGTAGAGCCGATTAGACTGGCTGTGTGTCCTGTGATCGCTGCGATTCATTATCACGCGATCACATAGCAATGCTTACATTGCCAAGCCCTCCCTTTCCTCTTACACCAGAGGCAGGGGAGAGTAAAGCGAGTCATGAATGGAGTTCATTCATTATATACTAATGGAAAGAATCTGCAGTAGCAGCAAATAAATAAATAAATATGTTATATATCATTTTTAACCCTTTTAACTCCCCTGACTCTCCTGCTTAGATTAGATCCATTATGTATATCTGCTGCCCTTTATATTAACCCTTTTGCCTCCCTTATCCTGCACATCTGTACATTAACCCCTCCATCTCCATCCTCCCACTGTATGTGACCTGTATATTAACCTCTTCACCCCCTACTCCCTCTGTGTTAGGGAGGGGGTGGAGTTCCCCTGTTTGCTGGAGTGGAAACCGATTGCAGGGAACAATACAAGAAGGAGGCTAAGGTACAAATAGGAGAATCCAAGAATGCATCGTCAGAGTATAGTCCAGGTCAAGGCAGGCAGCAAGTATCATAAACGGGAAGTCAAGCCAGGGGTCGATAATCAGGAGATCCAAATCGTGAGGAAGGAAGTCAGGAAACAGGAAAACAGGAGATAAGGCTTCGTAGCTGCTTTGGGTATGGCAGAATAACTTAGCAAAAGTCTTGGCTCTAGTCTAGCTCTGCTTTGGGTATGGTATGGCTAGGAGAGAAGGTGTGACCCCCAAGGCCCTCCCTGGCAATGATCAACACCTGAGGTGACTAATAGGCCATGGCAAAGTCACGTGCACGTACGCGCGCATGTGCGCACCTGCAACCAGCTGCTGGGCTCCAAATCACTCCAAGAAAAATGGCCCGCTAATGAAGGGTGTAGAACATGCAGATACTGAAGTGGTTAAAATATTTTTTCATGCAATCAGTCTAAGTGCCTGAATTGCACTTAGTATCAGTCTCTTGCAGTCCCTGTAAAGCAGAGCTCTGACTAGAAAGGGGAGAAGCTGCACAAGGAGCCAGATCAGTTGTGCTGCAGTGCTCATGTGAGAGAGAGAGATGAGCTTGTTAACTTGCTGCTTTTCCATTTACTGTCCAGTTACAGACTGGGGGAAGGATAGCATCTTCAAGTGTTACTTAACTACAGAAGAAACAAATCAGACAACTTGTCCTGCCAAACAAGATTGCTGTTTGGCAGACCTGAGCTAACCTCAGAACTGGATGGACAGCAATACAACCCTTTGGCAAGTAAAACAGCACCCCTTATCTGTATTTTATCTGTGTAGTTAGCTGTTTGTCAAAAGTTCAGTTTTAAAGGAATGGTATGAAAACATAAAGATAAAAAGTAAACGTTCAGTCAAACCCAACCCACTGAACCTAAGATTATAACAATAAATGATTGTTTATGCCGTTAGTAAACTACATTGCAGATTTTATTTTATGTTAACATTTAGAGAATAAAAGCAGATTTGTTTATTCTTATCATTACTGTTTTGATACTTGCACTAGTATGCCCCAATATTTATTTAAAGCATCAAGATATTTTTCATTTCTATTTGTGTTGCTACCAAACAATAAAGTTTGATACTTTTTATATCTTACCTTTGCTTTCTTCTCAGAGAATGATTTTGGGATGTTGTCATAATAGAAATGTGTCCCTAAAACCCGTGGGGAAGGTTCAGCTTCAAGTTTCTGCATTATAAACAGAAAAACACAATGCATTTTCTTTGAAGCAAACCATTAAAATAACAATTTAGCAAAGTAGTGTTTTTGTTATTTGTGTATGAAAAGCCTATGGAAGTATGCAAAGCCTATGGAAATATGTTGTTTAAATAATATGTGGTAAATAATGGTTTTGTACATTTTTCTATTTAGTATGGTAAGGATATACAGGTGAAACTCGAATAATTAGAATATCGTGCAAAAGTAATTGCAGTAAGTGCTGCAAAAGGGGCCCAAACCAAGTACTGAGTACATATGCATGCTTGTACTTTTCAGAGGTCCGATATTGTTCTATGTACAATCCTTGTTTTATTGATTGCATGTAATAATCTACTCTTTTGAGGTTGTGGATTTGGGGTTCTTGGGGTTTTCATGAGCTGTAAGCCATAATCATCACAATTATGACAAATCACGGCTTGAACTATCTTGCTTTGCATGTAATGAGTCTCTCTCATATATTAGTTTCACCTTTTAAGTTGCATTAGTGAAATAAATGAACTTTGCACGATATTCTAATTATTCGAGTTTCACCTGTATATGTGTATATATCTATATATTTATATACCGCTAGATGCTTTTTTTTTACTTTTACCTCAACCACAGACAAATAAGGGCATAACTACTGTTGTGCTTTTTCTTTAGAAAACCTATAGTGCTTTAAAAATCCTTTGGCTCTCATACATGTTTTGAAAAAGTTGTAAAAAAGAAAACTGTATACACTATATAGCAAAAGTACATAAATATAAATGTAAAACCTTATAAATGTATAATACAAAAATGAAGGTTGCTTTAAATCCCATTCCCAGTTTATTTTTAAATATCCCCATTCCTTTCCTATAAAGAAAATGTGAAATAGCAAATATCACTCTCTCCACACTTCAGTGCTGCCAATTAAGTCATCCACTGTGTTCCAGTGCAGGTCCCCTTCTAGGATGAATGACCTCCACCTGGGACAGCACAGCGGCTTAGTGGTTAGCTCTTATGCCATGGAGTTTGTATGTTCTCCCTGTTCTTGCATGGGTTTCCGTTCACACCCAAACATGCTTGTAGGCTAATTGGTTCTTGTCTAAATTGGCCCTAGTGTGTGTGTCCGGGTCCAGAAAATCCAACTGAGGCTTACCATGGTAGAAGAAGACCCTGGTAACATGCCGCGGAGTGGCTAATGCAGTTCTGGTATGCATTTCAGGCATGAAGCCACAGAAAAAGTAAGGTTCGAAGTGCACCAAAGATCACAGTGCAGTCATGGTAGTAGAGTTAGGACCTTCAGCTACCTATAACCCACTTGCTGTGAGCCCACTGCATCAAGCTGCCCAGGGCTCCCAGGGGAATATTCCCTACATAACTGCAGTTCTTTGCAGTATTTAGGGTAGATGAGGAGGAAAATTACCACCTGTGTTACAAGATGGAACTAAAGGCCTCAGGAAAAAAGGAACATATAAAGATGTGTGGGGAAGGGTTCAAGACCAGCATCAGGCTTTAAACTATTATAGTTTTTGAGTCCTTACGGTAAGTTAATTGAAAGTAATCTTTTATGTGGTTCTTAAATTTTTAAAACCTTGGTTTGGCTTACTTTTATGGTCATATTTAATATAAGATTATATGTTCCCTATACTGTATCAGACAGTGCAATGGACATTATCATTGCCAAATAATTATAGTGAGGAAAACAACTAAAATATAAGCTTTCTAGTTTGTATATCATTTTTTATGAAAATCTTTTGTTTGTAGCTTTGTATGATACATACCTCAAATTTATTGGGCGATTTGAATTCTATGATTGGGATGAGGGCAGGAGGTTGTTTATTGTGTACTGTGTGAACTATGTTATGTAACAGCATCACAGACCAGTTCGAGCCTGGAAAGATCAAGGAGTAACGATGAACAAAACATGAATGAAACACAATCATGCTCAAGATGAAGGAAAAGTCGGTAAGCTTGCATTTTAAATTTCCAAAACATTCAGACATTCACATTTGTTTACAGAATTGTAAGCATGTTCATGGCAGCAATGTACTGTATTGTATCCTTATAGAGAATCTGTCATTTTGCATACTCATTTAATATGGCAGCTACTCTTGTAAGCACAACCACCCTATATTCTGTTGATGCTCACCTTCACTTGGCTCCTCCACAGCTTTTTTGCTCCATCAAAGCCATTAGTAATTAGCCAGTCCTAATGAGTATAGAGGAGCATTTGACATCCTCCCTGGATACAGTGCTTGGCAGCCAATCATGAGGCCCAAGGCTTGTGTACATATTGCTGTCAAATGTGGGCTTTTACATTCGATCACAGCACTATTTACTATTGAGGTAAATGGGAATCTACTGATCTGTGTTTGACATGTGTTTTAAACACACAACAAATGGGTGTTGTAAATGCCTGTGTACACAACCCCTATTTAAAAGTAAACTATAGCCAATTGTACTTCAGTGACTCAAAGTCAGCATATACAGTAGCCTGCCTGCTATTTCCTGACACCACAGAGCCGTGCTACAGCTGAGAAAAATCCTGACAATATTGTCGGGATTCACCCCACTGCCTGTTTGACAGCTGACTCTACCTCTGTGCCCACCCCACCCTGTTGTTGTCATTAAACTGCATTGCATTGGGTTGGATTATGTTGTTGTTGTATTGATCTATGCCTGGCATATTGGTAGCCCACCCTACAGCAACTTGTTATTTTGTGTATATTTGATATTTCCTCTGTACAATGCTAGGTCCTATAGTCCCTCCCTGCCTTCTCCAGGTCCCCTCCGTATAGTGCTAGTCTTCATAGAAGACACTAGGCTGGAAAGATTATTGTCTTGTTACACTTCAAATGTGTCCTTTTGGAGTGTTAAGCTGTTTTCTGATTCGGTAGATGACCATACTGCCAGAACACATCGGGATCTAAAAAAAGATATGTCAATGCATAAAGCAGTATTTCAAACAGAACAATCTGCATTAGGATTTCTAATTCTGTCCAGCTAATTCTGTGATGTAATATAATCCTGTGATGTATTCAGCCCTACCAGAGTGCACAACCATGTCAGTGTTCACAGCTTTCTCTCCTGTGGTTAAAGTGGAACTCTTCTGTCATTCAAACCTGGACATAGGAAGAGCCAGGAGCCGTGTATAAATCATTAGTTCTGCGTTAAGCAATATAGCTTGGCTGATCACTGGTCATCCTCGGACACATTCTGAGCTTGTACATGCTCAGGGGGAAAACGGCTGACAGCATGTGGAAGGATTCTAAACAAGTTCCCAGCTGCTATAGCAAACGGGAGTCTGTTTACAAGTTCTGCTACTGCAAATGTAAGCTTTACATTGGTGGCACTGAAAGGTTTAACCTTAGCAAAACATTTCAGGTGTAACATGAAACATGGTCACATTCCCTCCTCACCCTCAGACACACACTCCCATGCACGGAATCATAGGCTTCTTCCTCTTGCAGGCTACAAGTCCTATCTGCCACCGTGGCAGAGGAGCTCACAGATCTCAAATGAAAACAAGTGCGGTGACGTTACCAAACTTGTAGTCCATTGATTACTTCCTCCAGCTCCATAACCAAACGTCTGTACCTGGGGCACGAGGAACAGTCTGCAGGAGCCTGTGCATTGTGTCCACGATACACTGATCGTGGTTGCAATGCTTGCCAGGCTCCAATGCAAAAATGTAATAAATGCACATTTTTCGTTACTTAATGTGGATGCATTTATAACAATGTTTGCAAAAGGTGGAATATGCCTTTAAAGCCCAACACTAGGTCATGTTTTTAGATTTGGATAGACTTAAGAAGGGTCAAAAATGCTATTACTTTTTTATTGCTGCCTATATTCTACAGGTGAAACTCGAATAATTAGAATATCGTGCAAAAGTTAATTTATTTTACTAATGCAACTTAAAAGGTGAAACTAATATGAGATAGACTCATTACATGCAAAGCAAGATAGTTCAAGCCGTGATTTGTCATAATTGTGATGATTATGGCTTACAGCTCATGAAAACCCAGATCCACAATTTTAGAAATTTTTTGGCAGTGTGGGCAGGTGCCAAGTCCTGCTGGAAAATGAAGTCAGCATCCCCATAGAGCTCGTCTGTGGAAGAAAGCATGAAGTGCTCCAAAATCTCCTGGTAGACGGCTAAGTTGCATTAGTGAAATAAATGAACTTTTGCACGATATTCTAATTTTCCGAGTTTCACCTGTATATGAAGGGGTTCACTATCAGTCATTGTTGGAATGCAGACAGCAATACAAATCTGGCAGCGTTTCTAATCCTTGTCAGCAAAAAAAAGTTTGGCTAGAGAAGCAAAATATACTGGAATAAGACTACAAGACCCTATTTTACCATTATGGGTGGAGTGGAATAATGCACGTGGTGAAGTCATGCAGAAATTAGGTAGCTGATTTATACATCTTCTGCCCAGAGCATACCACCACTAGATGGAGCCAAGGAGCATAGATCATTCATATGCTTCCTTTGCTCCTCATTGACCTCTAGTGGTCGTAGTGCCATGCTAATTGCATTCTCCCAGAAATAGGTTGGGCAAAAGATTTTTAAATCCACTCATAGGTGCATGTAGGAACACTGTTGCAAAGATGTATTTGAGAAGCACTATTGCACTGATCAAGGATGGATGCTAAGCAAAAGATGGACACTTATTCATTTGTTTGGGTTTTTTTGTATACAACTTGTAGCTGAAAACACAGTTATTACTACATTGATGGAGTCCACTTTTTCATGTTTAATGATCTGTAATATAAAATTGCTGAATTAGTTTATGTTTATTATATGATCCTGAACATAATATTGATTTAAAACTTAAAAAGCGTTGCTTTTACTGTTACAAATTTTAATAAAGTGAGTGTCTAAAGAGTCTAAACTGTTACCCATCCTGCCGTCTTCTAGAGACTTGGTTCTCAACTGGTGGGTCGTGACCCAAAAGTGGGTCGCAACCCTGTGTTCAGTGGGTCGCCACATGCCTTCCAATTTTCTAGGTGAGAGGCTCCTCAGCCTCCCCCTAGCGCAGCACTATCAGTTCCCACGCCAAGCAGCCATTCATATGCTGCTCGGCGCCGAGCGTCAGCTTGAGGTGGGTTGGGTGAGCTGGAGCTATAGCCGCGAGGGAGCTCCATCCATGCATGCATTGCTTACACAGCATGTCCTGTAGCAGTACCTAGACCGGAGTGACATCACGTTCTGGCTCCCGGCACCTCTACAGGGCACAGAAGCCCACACTGGACCCCAGGCTGAGCATCCACTCCAGTTCTCATAATGTTGGTAGACTGGGTGTCTGTCAGTGTTTTTGATAGCCCTTTCACACTAATAGAGTGTGTTTATCGAACAGCCCTGTGCGAATGACGCACTGTACCATGCAATCGCACCTACTACGCGTTCTGGTGTGTGAGGTGCGTTGCCATTTATTTGAATGGCATCCCATTCACATCTCCTGCCCACAGTTCGATCGCCCGCACCGGAACACGCAGTAACGCAATGCCATGCGTACCATTGCAGTGTGACTTGGGTCGCGACTTAATGACCAAGGACAAATGTGGGTCCTGAGGTTACACAGGTTGAGAACCACTGTTCTAGAGAAAATATGCATATGATGAATAATCTGATAAGCTAATGGTTAGCTCCTGTAAAGTTTAATTTGAAATCGATTCTTTTACTTTACTTACCACACTTCGGATAAGCCGCCATCATAATATCATCTTCACGTGCCTCAAATGTTTCCAAAGCTTTGAATGTGTCAATGTTGCATGTTGCAGCAGGATACAAAACTCCATTGTATGTAAAAATCAACTCATCCTTTGGGATGTTTTTAGCAGCTTCAAATGCTTTTGTGATCTCCTCCTGAAATCGTGTAACGTCTGCCATTGTAATGAAGTTGAGACTTAAAGCTGGAATGCTGGAGCCTTTTAAAGCTGTGTGTTTTCTTTCAGTGAAGGAGGGACTGAAGGGGGGTGGTCTGAATGAGTAAGAGGGAGTAGTGTGGATGTCATTGATATGTATGACAGTACGCCTGTCAGTTACTGCAGGAGTGTGTCTCTCATTCAGCTGAGTTTCAAAATCTTCAGTTTAAAGCTGAACCCCGGGGAAAAATGAACACTACCCTTGCGGAGGAGACACACACACACACACACACACACACACACACACACACACACAACACAGTCACACACACACACACACACACACACACACACACACTGCAGGGCATAAATGCATGCCTTATCTGTTCAATCTGTGTAGCCAGTCTCCCAAAGCCAATTCTCATTGGCACTACACCCATTGGTTGCTCTCTGATGTCATTGTGAAGTACGCCCGGCACAAACCCGCTGTACGTCAATCACCCGTGACTATACACAGTTCTGAACCGAGTGCGGCGTCACAAGGACGTGGCGATACCACTCTCAGCCTCACCCTGCACTGAGATTTTCCAGCTCGCGGGACACAATCTCAGGCCAGCACACTGAGAGCGATCATCACCAGGCTTGGTTAACTCCGCAGTTATAACCCTTTACCCACAAACGTTCGCTGCCACCATGTGTTTTTTAACGGAAACACAGACCGTTCCCAGCAAGTGCTGTGACAATTGAAAACACTTAAACAATGCCTATGATACCGCTGTCCTCTCAGACAGGAAAATGACAGGATTCACTATATAGTAGCGATATTCACAGAGGCAAGGATACTTTAAGTTCATATTTAGAGCGTAGAGATAAGCTTAACGATTTTTAAGATCGTCCTTTAATAAAAGAAATGGTGAAGAAAATATACAAAAAACGATATTAATAAAAAGAGACAAAATATATATACAAAGGTAATATAAAAGGGCATAAAAATGTGAATACTTAACAGTCCTGGAATTAGGAGTTCTGACAGAGTTCAGAGTTGAATAAGTAAAAGAGAAGTCTGAAGGGCTCTTCAAGCAAGCTTTCAGCAGATGACGTCCAGAGATTAAGGGGAACTCTTCTGCGATGTTAAGACTTCTTGATGTTAATGGAGTTCCTTTCTTTATGTTTCAAAACGAGCATTTTTCTATCTGCTTTCAGCATCTTTTGTTAGCCCTTTAGGGGGTGTCACGGAGCTGGCCCCTAGTGCAGGGCAGGGCTGGGGATGGAAAGCAGGAGGAGGATGAACATTTATTTTTCACTGTCACCGCCCAATTCCAAATTATGAAATGGAGCTGATAATGTACTCAGGTTTATGACTTTCGGGTGAATGCTGGGTCACCTGGGTCATTACCTCTACCAGACCTGCTTGTGTTTATATACTTGTCCACTGGTGACAGATGAGTGCCTGGTGACATGCCTTTAATTATGGACAGCTAGAAAAGGTTTAGAAGTGATTTGGGACTCTCACTAGGACTGGGGCAATAAAGATCACAGGCCAGAAGCGATCTCGGGCAGCCACTTGTGCCTGGAACCGTATCTTCCTCTGAGCTGCGGCCACCTGTAAACAGGCACAGGCACATCACCTTCTTCTCCTCCTCCGGCTCCCTGACTGTGCTGCCTGCGGACTCCTGGTGAGACACCACATCCTAGACAGCCCACTTGAAAGTGCACATAGTACACATGAGTCGCACAGCCCACCTGACAGACACACAGCCCACCAGAGAGTCGCAGAGCCCACCTGAGAGTCACAGAGCGCGCCTGAGAGGCGCACAGCCCACCTGAGAGTCACATAGCCTACCTGAGAGTCACATAGCCCACCTAAGAGGTGCACAGCCCATCTGAGAGCCCGCACATCCTCCTGAAAGCCCGCACAGGCCAACGGGCCACCTGGAGACATCAGGGCGCCACCCCAGAACAACAGAGTATGTAGCTACATATTATTTTGTATTGCTGTATTATATATTGATGAGGTCCTCTATAGACTGTCTCCTTACTCCCTCTCCTATCTGTCTTTTCTTGCTCTTTCTACTGGCTGCCTCTCCTCACTCTTCTCTATATTCTCAGAAAAAAAAGCTGTGATTGATTTTTCAGGTTTCACTTGAAGAAAAGGTGGCAACCCTGGTATAATGCTTTCTTATATAAGATGATGTTTGTGGCGTGTTTGTGAGGTTAGTAAATCAACCCCTATGCCTCTCATTCGATCAGAGAACATCTGGGCCAAAGATCCAATGATTCACAAAATAGAAATTCAGGGGTGTCATCAACTCCAACAATGATTACACTCAACTCAACTAATCCCAGTGATCCCAGTATCCAGATAGCAATACACCCCCAATACTGAACTTCAGGTCCCAGAAGTCACAGTGTGGGGCTAGCAGCATGAAGCCAGTCTGAAACTACAAGTCCCAGTAGCCCCAGTGTCCAGATAGCAGCACACAGCCAATGCAGAACTATAAGTCTCAGCAGTTTTAGGCAGCTTCTAGTCTTCGAAAAACCGTAAGCATGCACGTTTATCGATACCGCCCCTCACTAGTAAATACGTGACAGCTGCAGTAAAAAAGCCAAAGCAAACCTTTATCATCATCCTCCTCCTTTTTCCCCAGGATCAGAGTAGCTCAGTGTAATCAGTAGTGGCAAATGTGCCCTCTTCTTTCTCTTCTACAGATAATCTCACCATTCCCAACTGGCATTGAAGAGTTGAAAATTATTTGAGCACACCATTAGAAATTTGCTGCAGGAGGATGCACAAAAAGTAATTTTATCAGATGTTGAGGAAGAAAGTGCCAGGGGCATAGAGGGAGGGGACAACAGGTAGGGCAAAATAATTTATTAACCTGCAATGGTTTATAATGATTTATGAATCATTAACCTGCAATGACAGCTTAATGATGGGGAAGCCAGGGATGATGAAGTGGGTCCCCAAGATGTAGAGAAGGAAAGTGAAGAAGATACATACTATCAGTGAGGCAGGATGATGTCCAAGGGCAGCTTACAGAAGGAGGGAGAAGATGCTCTATTCCACAGGATGTCACTGTTCCACAAGTGCAGGTCATTGGAATGAGGTATTCTCCATTCACTCACATATTACTGACTCCTTGATCGCTCCCTCACCCAAAATTGCATTACTCTCCATTATCCCAGGCTCTATTGCTCTTGCTAAGAAAGGTCTCCTATGTTTTTTCCTAGCAGCTGCCCCAGATCCCCAGATATTGGAATTCTCCTACTATTCCCTCCATACGTAAGTGGACACAAGAGGTCTATCATATTATCACTTTAGAACAGTTAACAGCTCAGTTGCATGACCATTTACCTCAATTTGAGGCCACCCGGAACTCCAGCAACACACCACGTAGGGCTGCGGTGTAAGGAGCCTTATATAGTGTGCTGCTGGGACTTAGCAGTGAGCCATGATTGGGCAAAGTCATCATGACTTTGCTCAATCATGGCTCTTACAGAGTACTGAGCCCTGATTGGGCAAAGACTTGCACCTGACCTGTGGTCAGATGCAAGCCTTTAGCCAATTAAGGCTTCACAAGGCGCATTGCCTTGTGGGGCGTTCATCGGTCTAATAGACCGCCGAACGCCCTTAAAGTTCGTGTGTTCGGTGAACACACGAACTAGTGATGTTCGACTCGAACATGCAGCCCAACACTAGTGACTAAGAGCCTGTGCAAAGTCCCAGACAGGATGCTGTCACAGTGTTTTGCAGCTATTGTGCCTGGGGGACAGGAAATACATTAGGGCAGAGATTTTCTCAGCTCTGCAGGTGCAGGCTGACCCATGACATCTTGTGCCAGGAAAGGTTGTGTGTGACAATGGCACCAACTTGCGGTCCCCCCTTCGGCAGAGAAAGTTCACACACGTGTGTTGCCTGACACAAGTCCTGTTGCAGGCCAGAAGAGTGTGCAGTCAATTCAGGTGGTTATACCAGCCAGTGCTGCCTGGCTGAAATTCCGTGGCACTACAGCTTGCTTGCCAGCCACCTGATATGCAACATGCCCATGTGCTGGGACTCAACCTTCGCCATGCTGCAGCGATTGCACTTTTATAATTGGGCCATCAATAAGTACTTTTGCAAATATAAGATAAGGACTGGTTGTGGGGATCTGATTTTTTTCTGGTATTTGATCAGGATCCCCCTGGCACTGCCCAGCTCTCCCCATGCCCTTTGATTGATAATCCCTTATTAGTCTTGACAATATATACTGTAGATGTGTTTTTTTAAGACTGACATCCTATTTACTCATTTGCAAATTCTATGATGTGTTCGCCGAAAGCACCCATGAATCAAACCCAAGCACATCCTCCCATTACTATCCCTGATTCTTGCATCACCTGATTTATATGCACTTCTGGTGTGAACCATACCTCAGAACTGGACAGGAGTCTGCTAAAAAATGACTGCATTTGTGGAAAAGGTGAATGAATAGAAACCATTCCAGAAGCCAAGAAGGGAAAAGGTCAAGTCAGGTCTTCTTTTGCATAGAAATAGCCTCTTTTTGTTTCCTTGCGTGAGAATAATAGATTAAAGTTGTACTGCTCTCACGTTATTGGAAGGTGTGTCAGTAAAACAAAGCAAACCCTTATGAAATGGTTTCAGATAACACGTCTAGCAGTTCACCCTGGAGAAAACTACTGGGGAAGCAGGATTCCATGTGTTTAAGTCTACTATACTATTTGCACAACTAGTTTATATATTTTTGTATTGCTTTCAAGTACTTGTGATCAGGAACAACTACTATAATGTACATAGCAAACATTGTAACTGTAATTGATGTAACAGCTAAAAATTAAATAATAATAAATTACGAGGAAAAACTAAGCGGGATTGCTTGACAGGTTCATATTTAGCTGGTAATAAATTTTACAGTGGAAAGGTTTTTTTAAGGCTTGAGCTACACTTGTGATTTTAATTTTAAAAATGTCCATTGTGTATGTTGTTCTCATCGATAAAAAGTTGGAGATCCCCAGGAACGCACATAAAAAAAGAGGCAAGGTGGGAGACCCCTTAGTCCTGG